TATTTTATAGTCGTTGTCATTTGTTTTGACCAGCGATCGCTCCCGGCTTCGTTCGTGTAGCACATCCGAAGAGAATGATAGTTAATATTAAATGTAGTAATAATTAAATCGTCATAGATACTTAATCATCATCACCATCATTTCAGCCTAACAGACAGTAAACAAAACCAACTATATAACAAGTATTGATATTATGATACTATGTATTATTCATCGTGATTTCAGAATGTTCGACTCTGAACTGAACATAGGCCTCCCCCACAGATTGCCACGAAACTCGATCCTGAGACACCGGCATCCATCTTTTTACATATGTGCACAGGTGGTCACTCCATCTGGGAGGTCACCCCACAATATCAATATTTAATACTACCAGCGATATAAATTGATCTAGATTACTCGCTGAAGAATCCTCTGCCTATCAATGAAAGCTCTTTAAAGAAAGTGCTTCCGTTTCTGAAATCAGCCTCGCCGGAATATCACCTTTTTCCCTAAAGTGTACATTCATATTAAAAAAATAAAGCATATGTCTGTACAGCGATAATGTTTTAATTGTTAAAGAAAAACTTTTTAAAAAGGATATAAATAAAATAAGTTAATATTTTTAGACTATTAGTCCAAAACTAAGTAAAGCTCGTAATAGGTAACTGATAAACAGACTTAAACGTACTTTTATTTTGTAAATAAAAACGTAGATAGTATAGATTAACTAGCGGACCCAACAGACGTCATGTACATACGGTTTAAATCCGATAACTTAAAAAAAATGTAAATTTAAACCATTCTCGAATCGACCTGAAGACACACAAAAAAAATAATTCAAATTGGGCCAGCCGTTTAAAATGCAAGACAATAGAAAAAACAACATTTTCAACACACTATACTATTTTCTTAATACTATTTTCCAGTAATGGGAATCGAACCCACACCCTCGGGCTCTAGAGACGGGATCACTAGCCACTGCGCCAGCTGGGTCATCGAGAAAAAGTACAACCTAATTGATAACCTGCACTTTGAAATCGGTTCAAGGAATGGTTTTTGCACAAAACAAAAACCCTCACGAGGTTGTCACCCGCGTTTCGAGATCGAGGATTTTCCGTTACCCGATGTACTCATTTTGCATTACCTCACCCTAATTATATTGTGTACAAATACGAGGTGAATATGACATCAGCGCACCGAAACTGAGGCACTCAAATAACGCCGATTGGTGTAATTAGATTGCAACTCTTTGATTTTTAATAAAGATGACGCGAAATCTATGTGAATGCGATAGATAGCAGTCTATAGAGTTGCAATCTAATTACACCTATTGGCGTAATTTGAGTGCCTCAGATCTACCTCATATCAATAAATATAAATTCAATTTATTTTTTCTAGTGCTAATCTCTGCACTAGAGATTAAACATTAAAATTTGTAGAAAAAGTACGAAAAGATTGTCGCCGCTGTGGGAATCGAACACAAAATTCTCGTGTCATAATGCTAGTTGCTATATTCCTCCGAAACGGCTTGATCGATCTTCATGTTTTATATGTATTGTTTGGTAGGTCTGAGAATTTTTCATACACCTAAGTGACATGGTTGGTCCACCCCAACATTTTACTACCCAATAAAGTCCCTACAAATAATTTATTTGCAAAAACAACGTTTGCCGGGTCAGCTAGTTTGAATAATTATAATATCATTGGGAAACAAATGCAATTGTGATCAAATCATTTCTATCCTTACATCACCTTACAAATAAAGAACGGCATACAAGGAAAACGAAACAGTTTTATTTGTATATTTAATTTATTGAATACGGTAGAAATGCTTCGTAAGTAATTAGTGGAAAACAAACAACAGACGGATGTAGGAACATACACCGGCCGCAAGCCAAGGAATACAATTCGCTAACTTACCAGTCTTTACTCCAGTAACAATTCGACTGGCTGCGTTTGCATGACAGCGTTAATATTACGAAAAAATAAAAAATACTAGTATATAAAAACAAAGGCGAACAAATCATGAATGAATTATACAAAAATAAAGTTCGTATCTAGATTGGATTGGAACAAAACAGATAGATATTTAAATTGATTCAGTCTTTCAAAATGGCCGACAGATAGACAGAGAATATTTGCCATTTTGTGCACTTTGGTTACAGATAAAAACAATTATAACTGCATTCTTTTATGTACATTTTTTACAATTGATGACGTATTTATTAATTAAAATATATTGATACAAAACTAACCGGGGTTTTTTCAATTTATTTTTTAATGTAAATACTTTAAATTAATACTACACGTGGTACAAAAATTTACAAAAATCAATAATTTACCAGGCTTGCGGCATAAGGTTTGGCTCACTCCTAAAGCCAGAATATAATTCTCTTCATATTTTTTTTAATCTATTAAATATATCATTTTACCAAACGTGGACGCCGAATGTCGTGAATCGATTGTAAAAAATATGACAAAATATTTCTCTTATATAATATTGAGGTAGGTGGGTTCGTCCTTCCGTTGTCACTACATTGACACCTGTCATCGCTCCTACGACGTCCATGTCTGAAAAATACGCGAAATAATTGGACTAGAGATAACACAGTTGCATTAAAATTGATAAATTATTACCAATCAATCAATACTGAATACAGTCGCACGTAAAACACAAAAATATCTATCTAAAACTAAAATTACGCGGCGAGACTAGAAGTTTGTGGATCACAAAAGAAATATGTACACAGATAATATAAGGTACAAATACACTGGAATGCTAGATCAGACTTAAAGGAACTCTTGGTGTTATAAAGGTAGGATTTTTTACAATAAACACTAAATTAATTGGTGACTAGCAAATAATACAAGGGTGCGATTTTATTTGCAATACTAACGATAAATCTCTCTCATATATTAAAATTTATTATCGCCATGTCGCACATAGAATCGCACAGATAAAATAATAGCTTACAACATCTAATATATAAATAATGTCGTGATTTTTTTTTCTAGAAAATGAATTCACAATTTCGTTTACAACAACGCATTAGTTATCAACGATTCAACATTAAATTCTCAATATATTTATTATTTAAAAATTAAATACACGTAAAAACAAGATCTCTGCTGTTCAATTCACAATAGGTTCTTTTTCTTTCAAAAAGCATTTCACAAATGACCATTTAAGCTATTTAACAGGAATATGGATTATTATTATTTCACACAAAAAATGGCTAAAAATGTGAGATCTATATTAAAAATCATATTCAATAAAGGGAATCCCTTTGAGGGTAGTAAAATCCTAAGAAGTGGGAGTACCAAATTCTCATTCACATGTTTCGGTATATAGTGCTTAAATAAAAATACTTTTTCCCCACCAAGTGCCTGATCCTTCAACATGAATATTACAGAGATCAGCGCACAGCTTTGGAAGAGTTTAGGAACTTAATTCACGCTTAAACACATGACGCCAACAAAAAACCAGCGATAGAGTGTGTGCGACTGTACCGACACGAAAGCATTGTACCCGAGTGAATGGTAAAAATATTTAACAGCTATTTCTAATTTAACCGTTGTAGTCGCCCCTGCAATATTTTTAGCTACACTTAACATTAATTTGTACTGTATTCATGTTGCACCATTCTCCGTTGGCGTACAACCGTTTACGAAAACGGTCTCGTACTGCGATTAACTCTAGTTTATTGGTCTAAGTCCACTCTGGGTACAACGCGATGCGAAACAATCCTGAACACAATTCACATTTCACTACGCACCACGCCCACGATATCGTCTAGTCGCGCGGAGGCCGTAAACAGTAAAAATACCGCGTTTCCTGCCTAATTTAATGTCACAAAAAACGCGCACCGACGTTCGGCCTCTACACGACCGGCGAGATCGTCGCCGCGCTTTTATTCACTTTCGTTATCATTTAAAACGTTATTAATATAATTTGTTGTTTCGCGCGCTCGCTCGACGGCGCGCCACGGGTGATACGGCTAAGATGCGGGAAGACTGGTTGGAAGCTGTTTTTTTTATTTTATTTTTTCAAATTAGGAACAGCGGGCCGTCTTAAAACTTGGACGAGGAACCGAATAAAAGGAACTTTTCTTTAGCATCTCACACGTATGGAGCGATTCGAATTTCGAATTGGAAATTGTCTACGGCTAAATTGAAAGGTTACCCTGATCATTGCCTCCTTTGTAATCAAAAATCGGGTGTGCTTACCCTTGGCGGGCCATCAAACGAGCGACCTCTAGTTTTAACTTTAAATTACAACTTACGTACATACATAGGAACTTTCTTTAGAAGCTGCATGGTTTATACAAGCTAACCTCCACAATGATCTATCGAATAATTAATTAGTTAATTAAATAAATCTTTACCATTTAAAATAAGATCTCTAGTGAACATCGGAGCACGAAAGTTTCATCCATATTTTATGCGAGGTTTTTTGTATATTATAGATTTTAACTGTTTTGTTATAGTGTTTACGTACGTCACGTAACGGAACACTGCAATCGCGTTGAAACACTAGTGATTATTGTTTTCGTGCATATTAGTTGTAAATTTTCTAATATCGGCGATATTAAACATAAGTGATGGACGAAACAAACATGTCCGCGAAACGTTATTTATCGATTACAATACAAATGAATATAAAAACGCAAAGCCCGGCCAAACGGCAGAGGGCGGGGCGGGGCTGGGCCCACGACCCCACCGAAACAATGACCCGTAATGACTGATGTGTTGCACAACATAAACCCGTCGAGCCGGACTTTGGCGGCCACAATATCTAATCAAGTTTATCACTAAAATTACACTTTTAATGTTGATCACTGCCCAATAGTACGTATCTTTGTGCTCGAGTCGTTCTAGACAACAATAAATATTATTTAATTATTATATAACATTGCGGCGTCCGTCCGCGGCGGCGCTACTAGCTTTGTACTCCAAAATATATTTATTAAATAACAGCTAATATAAAACCTAGCGTGAGGTAGAGTGGTTGTCCCTTATGTGGCACCTAATTTGTACTGTGGGTGAGTCGAGCCGCGGCGCGACGCAAGCCTGCCGACGTTGCGCCGCTTCACGCGCTGCGTCGCTTCTGGCCACGCATTGCGTCGATCGGCGTTGCGTCGCGCCGCGGCCGCACGCGCCGGCGCCGGCGACGCTGCCCGTGTGTCGTGTCGGGCCACCGAGCCGCTCCCAGTGATCAACATCGCACCGGTACTACGACGCTAACGTGAGTACGCACTCACCGGTCAAATACGTATAGTTATAAATTATAATAATAATAATAACTACGTCTAGGGTGTATTTCTTCTCCCGATCGAAATCGACGTTTCAAAAACTCGTCTCGGACCGACCCAACGTCGAGGAGATAATATTAAATAAACCAATACATAAGCGGCAACGTTTCATATATCACCCGTTAAATATAATTCTCAATATACGAAGTTAGACTCTGTCAAAATAATAAAATGGCCGGGGGCCGCCGCGCGGTGTAGCACTCGGGCGGGGGGCGGCCGCGGACAGCTCCTCGGCTACGATCACGTCTCTCATCTCTCAGCAATCGCTTGAAGGCACACAGCTTTAAATGTAGTTATTAAAGTTCGGCGATCGTAGCGCGCGCTCGCGGCGTTGTAGTCGCTCGGCCGCGAGTGCGCGCGGCGTCGGTTCGGCGTCGGTTCGGCGTCGGCTTCGGCGTCGGCGTCGCGCGGCGCTTACGCCGGCGTCAGCGTCAGGGTGACGGTGGCGCGGCGCGTGGCGCGGCGCCGCACCGGCAGGAACACGAGCGCGGGCAGCAGGCTGAGCGCGCCGCCCGCCTCCTCCAGCACGAAGGGCTGCATCGTGAGCGGCGCGCGCGGCGCCCGCGGCACCGCCAACAGCGCCCCGGCGCCGCCGTGCGACGCGCGCACGTGCGCCTCCAGCGCCGCGAAACTCTCCGCGCGGAACTCGCAGCGGGAGCACGAGTACGCCTCGGCCTCCCCCTCGCCGCCCTCCCCCTCCGCCTCCGCTTCTCCCTCCGCCTCCTCCCCGGCCTCCGTGCCGCTCTCCATCGGGCGCTGGATGTGGGCGCGCTCGTGCGCGAACAGGAACGCCAGCACGTCGGTCGTGAAGGGGCAATAGGAGCACGCGTACGGCTTGTCCCGCACGAGGAGGTCGAGGGGCCGCGGCGGAGGGGGCGGCGGGGGCCTCGCGGGCGGCGCGTGCTCGGCCAGCAGGTGGGCGCGCAGCGCACGAGGGCCGCGGAACCGCCTCGCGCACAGGGGACACGGCTCGGCGGGCGCGGCGTTCGCGGGCGCGGGCGGGGCGGGGATGCCGTGCGTGTTGTGCTTGTGCACGCGCAGGAAGTACTTGCTGCACAGCTCCTTGTGGCAAATGTCGCAAGTTACACCGCCCAGTTGGGTACCGCTCTCGAGCGATATGCCGTGCATGCGTTGCATGTGCGTCCTCATGAAGTACTTATTGCAGAGCTCCTTGTTGCAGATCTCGCAAAAGCTCGATCCGGCGGCGGCCGAGGCGGCGGCCCGCCGTTCGTCCTGCGGTGGCGGGGAAGTGGATGGCGGTCGCGTGGCGTCCGTGGGCTCCTCGGCGAGCCTCTCGGCTGCGAGTTCGTTCAGCTGCGAGATCATTGTTTGCAGCTTGCGCAACTCCTCGCTCGCAGAGCTCGGCGACGTGGCACCGCGCTCCTCCACGATCAGGTTTAGGGGGCTCGTTTGGCCGTCGCGCAGGGCGGCTTCCAGGTCGTCCTCGCACTCACGTTTGACCTCCATGGGCATGTCGGCGTCGTAGGGCGACGGCGAGATGTGGGGCGGCTGCGGCAGGGAGGGCGGCGTGTGCACAGAGGGGGTGAGGGGCGCGGACGGCTGGGGCGTGGCGAGGGCGGGAGGTGTCGCGGCGGGCGATCGTTGCGCGGGCACGCCGTGACGTCGCTCGCGGTGCGTGCGCAAAAAGTATTTGTTGCAATACTCCTTACAGCAGATCTCGCAGAACGCTTCTGGGTTGACAACGCCCAAGCGGCGCAGCACGTCCGGCTGGAAGCCGGAGTCGCGCGCGCGCCGCGCAGAGTCCGGCGAGAGGCGGCGCGGCGTGCCACCGGACTCCTCGTCGGAGGCGCGCCGCGGCGGCGAGGGTTGCGGCGCGGGCTGCGAGTCGCCGTCGTAAATGCCGTGCTTATTCGCGCGGTGCGTCTTCAGGAAGTACTTGTTGCAGAACTCCTTGCAGCAGAGGTCGCAGTACGCCTCGGGGTTGAAGATGCGCGGGGGGTCGTGGCGCGGCAGGAGGCGGAAGGCGGCGAGCGGGTCGAATGGGGGCAGCGCGAGATCGCCGAAGGCCAGCGCGCTCTTGTAGATGTCGGCGACCTTGGCCTGCAGATCGAGGGGCAGGGGGGGCGGCGCGGGGGGCTGCGCGCGCGCCGGCGCCGCCTGCTTGCGCCGCTTGCGCCCCGGGCTGGGAGGGGCGCCCCCCTCCGGCTCCAGCTCGCGCTTGACCGCCGGCGCCGCCGACATCGCGTCACCGCCGCATCTGGAAAGCGCGGCTCACTCTTAACACGATGCGCTAAAAGACCATCAAAACGTAAAGCACAAAATTGAGCACTTAAACCTGCTTATGCTGTAAGAGTCTGTTATGTTATCGAAATATTTCATGAGACTATTGTAACTAAATCATGAGGAGAAGAAAAATTCTTAAAATAACTGATCCTTATGCGGTCGCTCTTAAGGTCAAAAGTTAAAACAATTAAAGGGCGGTCGAAAAAATGTCTTTAACGCTAACAATTTTGACGCTTAATGGAAAATATCGTTTGCTCCATAGAATTCTACCACAATTTTGTAATTTCCCCTATTGACTCCAAAACGACTGGTACCGATTTTGAAGAAATTTTTATGAAATCTTCATGTTAACCCAACCAAGTTTGGTGGTGATTGGATCCGCACATTTTATTCTATCAACATCTAAATGTTGGAGCATAATTCTGAAGCTGTTTGACAGTGACTTTTTACAATGCGCGACACCTGAAAGCGACACCAACATAACAAATTTTTGGCATTTATGTATAATTCCAACCTATTTATTTCAACCGTAATCAATGGCATCACTGTCATAAACAAGGCGTACTGGCACACGGGATGATACTTTTGGTTATTTTTCTTTTGTTACACTAAAGAAGTTCAACCTCTTATTGCGTACATAAATACACACACACACGTTTTTTCGTTTCTGTTACATTTCTCTATCGATCAAAATTATTTTTATGCGAAATACGCGCGTGCAATTATTGTTAATAATTACCTAAATTAATTGCTTCTTTTGCTATGCCCTTTTTTATTTAAAAAAACGTAGACTCTAATTGATATCTTGAATTTAATTTGATTGAATTATTTAATTTTACGCAATTGAATAAGTGACAAGTATTTAAGCGTCTAATTTAAACAACAATGTAGTGCAGCGAATAAAACATATTTTTATGATCTGGGTTCCACAGGGATCAATGCCGGAACCACCTTTTTACTTAACATACTGTAAAATATGTTAATAAGCGACGAAGATGACGTAAGAATTTCATATGTATGTAAGGAATTATTTAAAAACTTCATTTATTATTATAAACGTTTATTTCAAGTTACTAAGACTACACATTTAGAACCAAAGTTTTATGTATTGGATTTTTTAATGAATGGATGCATATTACGTAACAATTTCCAGCATCATTTCTTCGTTACGTTGTTTCGTTATGTCCGCATACCTATAAACCAATTACTACTTATACTAAATCAATATTAAATTAATTCATTTGCTAAGTGAGCCGTGATAGCTCAGTGTCCGGGCACTCGCTTTTAATTTCTATAAAATTCTCGAGCAACCTCAGTTCAAACCCCAGTGCCAGCACCAACGAAATTACTAATCTTAATTGCTGACTTTATCACGTGCTCAGCATGGAAGGAAAAACATCTTGAGTAAACCTGCATATTATCGAAATAATAATAAAGAAAATATATCAAAGTATCGCTTTTTAGCGATAGGGCCGCCTATTTTACAGTTTTGTATTTTTATTGTTGATTATTCAATATTCGTTATTTGTGTACAATAAAGTATATTTCATTAATTCATTCATTCAGCCGGTTCACGTGATGTTAAGTGATCCGCCGCCCATGGACATCGACAACACATGAAGAGTTGAAAAGTGAGAACCTTAAAATAAATACCGGTGTGAAGCAGTAATAATATTGCTGCTTCACACCGGTATTCTGTGAGGCCGGACTTACACTGAGCCTACCCATACGCGAAAGAGCAGAGATAAAGCCACGCACTACCACACTTAGAATATAGCAGTCGATGGATCCAGGTGGCTCAGGTTCGTGCTTCGCGTTCGGCAGTCTGTGGGGGAGGCCTATGTTCAGCAGTTGACTCAAACAGGCTGAAATGGTGATGATGATGATGATAAACTTTGTTTTTTTTTTTATGTGAACAGTTGCAAAGCGAGCACGCGGTTCACCTGATGGTAAGTGAATACCGCCGTCCATGGACGTCTGCTACACCCGAGGGTTACAGATGCGTTGAGAACCTTTTGAAAATTGGGCTCCGGCTACCTCACTCACTAGACGAAACGCGAAGGTATTATACCTCCACTTTACACCGGTCTTCTGTGAGGTCGTGTTACTTATCCGGACGAGCCTGCCTATTCATGCAACAGCCGAGAATGCTGCGTGGCCCTACCACCGTTAAAGTTGCAACTTTATGCTTTTTGTCAATGTTGAAACCATTTTAGTTTGTCAATTATGTATTGATTACTTTATGATAAGATAAATATAAAGCTCCACTTAAATATTTTTTTATTCAGTCTTTTAATATTTTTTGTTATGGCGGCTACAGAAATACACCATCTGTGAAAATTTCAACCGTCTTACTATGACGGCTCATAAGATGCAACCTGTTGACAGGCGGACAGATGGACAGCGGAATCTTAGTAATAGGGTTTTACCCTTTGGCTACGCAACCCTAATAACAAACAGTCTAAAATGCCTTATCGAGAGTGGTCCAAGCCAAATCGAATCAAGAGACAGTAAATCAACAATACTATTGCCGAAGGCAAAGACACTTTACCCCAGCTAATATTAGAAGACGTTGTAAGTATAAATAACTTGTTAGTATAAAACCTTAGCAATTAAATAAATGGCATAAGATAAGCACAACCGACTTGATTGATTTAATATTTTCTCGATTTTTCCGTGATTATTATAAAAATACTCCCCCCTCACAAGATTCCAATAAGATTTATTACCTGCTCTTTTCCGTAGTGAGATCCAGTTTGACGGTTTTATTCAGCAACTACGATATTTAGTCCTTATCACCATCGTCCGAACGGGATCACGTAGAAACACAACACTGTCACACTCGCTCGGCGGCTACGCTCGCATTTCTATGCTCTTTGCCAAATTAAAAAAAAAAACAGTCCAAACGTCAAAAAAGCTGTCGAAACGTTGCGATTTGCGCGGCGCACGTGTCCTATTGCGCGTGCGACCAAAACTGATATGTTTTAAGTAAAAACGTGTGCCGTAATTCCTTTTTTTTTGTAGAAAATAGCGAAATCGTACCCCACCCGACCGCCCCTGCACGCGTTGATTATTTCGACAGGGGGCCGGTGCATCGCAGCGAATGCGCGGCTTACATGCATCCGCGCTTCGATTTATGACGTTTTGCCATTTTTTTAACCTTTACCTTTAAATAATCGGCTTTGTTATATTGCTAGCTTTTAGGTGTTCGAGAAACCAAGTCTGCCATGTTTGTTATTATATTAGGCATTCCGGTTATAATACAGATGACGCGTGTACATATTGCGCGGCATTTAACAATTGTTACTGATTAATTTATGTGCCTCGGTTTCGATGCACTAGTGTACCTCGTAATTGTATATAATATCATTGATATTCGGGTATATAAATATAGATGACTCAGTGGCGCAGTTGCTAAGCTATTGGCTTCGGTGCCGGGGGTCGTGGCTTCGATTCCCACACGGGACAAGTATTTGCGTGACCCAAAGATAATTGTTCCATATTTAGGTGTATGGTCCTAGGGAGTGTTGACGTTAGGCAGACGGCCTGTCCGAAAAAGAAAAGCCAAAACCTCTTAAAACCTAGGTGGGATAAGGGCAGGAGGATGATGATAACATTAGATACAAAACAGGTCATTAGGAGACAAACTCTATTGAAATAATATAAATTAATTATTCCACGCTATTTTTACCGGAGAGAAGGCCATTAACTCTATTCTATCTATGGTCTATTTCTTTATTATGAGATTATGTTGACCCCGTGTCGTAACACAATGACGAGAATATATATTTACAAAAACAATGGACACAAGAAGGCCGACATATGAACCGACCTTAATAGCGAACAATACACAACGCTTTCCGAAAATTTGGAAACACTATCAAAGGGAGCGGGCGACTCCGTAAACATCCACCTCCCTTTCTGGCACAGGCGTCGCCCTATTTCCGTCTCGCGCCGCACGTCACTTTCGCGTCTCGTATCCCGCCCGCGTCCGTCCCGCTCGCACAATTATGATTATGAGTAATGGCGTAATAAATTTAACTTCAGCTCACTTCGGGGAAACTCTTCGCAGTTTTTTTTTCCTCTTCCTTTCTCGCGCTTTTGGGCAAAATACGGCGAAACTTTCGCGGGGTTCTGCTCGGTACATAAACAAGTAAAGTTGAACCCACCCCGCGCGTTTTTATTAACTCCCAAGGCGGGCCCGTAACTATCGACTTTAATTACATCGGCGGTTTGCGATAAATTTTCGAATTTCCATTTACGCGTCTGTGTATATACGGAAAGGTTCCGTAAAAGGCGACCATTGATAGTATTTTTATCTGTAGTTAGAGCACGTAGCGTCTCCTTGTTGCACGAATGGGCAGGGGAATTACGTGGCCACCGGGGGACGTGAATTGGAAGTATTGGGCGTTAGCGTTTTTTCCGGCGAGTGACTTCCCACTGTTAAAGATGGACAACGCATCTACAACACAACAGGTTGTAATTAGTGGAGGTAACCACTCTAACTCTGCTACTCGCCTACCACCTAGTAAACCAAACCAACTGAGCGGTATTGATATCATGATACATTATGCATCATTCATCATCATCATCATTTCAGCCTTTTGAGTCCACTGCTGAACATAGGCCTCCCCCCCAAACAGACCACCACGAAGCACCACCCTGAGTCGCCTGCATCCATCGACTTCCCACACACTTGCACTGGTCGTCACTTGTCTATGTATATATCATTGGCTGTTAGTGTTATTTTTAAAGCTGAAATAGCGTTCGAAATCTCTAATTTAAAATTAAATCGAACTCGATTTGATCTATTACATAGCATAAACTTTATAAATGTTTGTCAATGTCAATGAAATGCAATGAATATTGTACAAGCAATATAAAATGTTCTCGCATTCCACTATCCACATCTGGGTAGGTCATGAGAGACTATGAATTTATATGAACGGGACTTCAGACAGGATTAATAAGAGATGTGAAATAATTAATCTTGACGGTGGCGCAAGCCCCAGTGGCGGTGATCGGACTGCCATCCAAAGGTAGTGGGTTCCAAACCCAGTCGACAATAAATTCTGTTTTTCTGACTTACACGTGCTTTGACGACTTGTGGGCAAACGATCACATTTGTTCTGGCCTACGGTGACAAATCACATAAGGGGCTAAACAAGAACACAAAATTAACAGCCTCCCATATGGACTCAAAATAATTTAAAAACATTCGGAAAAACATTTTTTAATTCGTACATTGTCTAACCGTTTCATAAAAAGAGAACATGTTACACTAAAACAGAAAATGATTGGGATAGAACACAAATTATTCTTGTATATCCTATATTTTTTTCTACAAATAAATCAGAGTGGAAATTGAAAGCCGCGCCATCTAACGGGTACATGTCTTCAATTCCATGTCACTTAAGAGAACTCTATATTCGATGTATAGATAAAATTTTAATTATAGGGACTGAAAGTAAGAACATCACTCAACGAAGAAAAAAATGTAGTTTGCCCCAAACGGAGTAATCCCATAGCAATTTAGCATGAGGACTATGATGGTTACACCCTGAGTTAATTCTTCAAATATCGTTCTCTGCGCAAAACGCGACTGGCGAACGGTGTACGGTGACGATAATACTTAAACGAGATAATTTAAGTACCCAATTAAAAATTTTTTCTTATACTTTTATTCTTATTATAATTATTTATTTATTTCTTATTGATAATTTTAAATTAATTCTTATTGTTTAACGCTGTTCTTGATTTTGTATATTGCTTGCTTACCTATAATTGGAGTGATACCAAAGTTAAAAAAACCAGACTCAAGGTTTTTTTAACTTATGATGGTGTCTACTCTGTTGGTGAAGATTTATAAAAAAATTAAATTACGACGAGGTTTTATATCGAATAAATAATAAAAACAAAGTAGGTATTTCGAAGTATTGCAAAATTGCCAATCTGGACCGGGGCCACACGGCGAAGTACTGCCCAATAGCCTCGGTACACAGGATGCCATTGCCCAGCCATGGGATAGAATTATTATCACTAAACGAAACTATTTTGGTCGCATTCCATGAAGGCTGAAAAGGGTTCGGGACGTCGTTAAATAAAATTAAAAATAATCGCGATAAATCTGTAAAAATAGTTTCGTTTTTATTTACGTTCCTTGTACTTACGCGATTACGCAAGATGTAACCACGTAAATACTGGTAATCTTGTAATCTTCTTCTTATATATAAAAATGGATTGCAAACACTTTATGCGTGCGTTCCGATTCCACTAGAAATAATTTATACGGCGAAACAACGTTTGCCGAGCCAGCTAGTTATCATATAATTATTTAGTCTGTTTAATATATTATTATGGACCTGTACAGTTCGATCATCTGCGTTGGCTGGGGGCTGCGAAGGGGTAGGCTCGACCTGGTCCCACCCTGCCTGCGGACAGAGATTTTCTTGATTAAACAAACACGAGTACACCAGATGTATAACTGCTAATTGATCTTGACCTTCTGATATTGCACGAATAGGCAGACTCTGCGTAACTGTGGTAGGGGCACGCAACAGTCCTCGCTGTTGCACCAATGGGCAGGTCCGTCTGGGGTACAACGACTTCACAGAAGACCGGCGTGAAGTGAAAGTGTTACACTTATGCGTTTCGTCTGGTGAGTGAGGTAGCCTTGGCCCACTTTATTGAAAGGTGTCACCGCATCTGCAACATTATGGGTGTTGAAAATGTGCATGGGCGGCGGTAAACACTTAACATCAGGTGAACGCTTGCTCGCTAGTCTTCTAACATAAAAAAAGACTCGTCCGGGGAAATACTCTTTTTTTATATGAATAATTGTCAAGTGAGCACACGCTTCACATGATGTTAAATGATTACATCGTGGGCATCTAGAACACAACCTGACAACCTATAAAATAATTCAACAAGCGGAAGACCCGCGTGAATTGGACACTTTCTCGTTTCTTGTATGCGTATGATTGGCAACGCTTCTGCCACACGTAATGTGTTTCAGATGTCAAGGGGTGGCGTTAATCACTTGACATCAGTAGAACCGCCTGCTCGCTTGCCAACTTATCATTGATTTAGTAAATAACATGGTAGTATATAGCCCGGCCTGTGACCACAAATTACAAGTCAGGATAAATGCATCTCTCAAGACACCACTTTTGTCTTTCATATTTCAGAAAATTATTACATACAGCTACATATATTAGGGTGATGAATCATGGTCAAAAATCCCATATGCAGTAACAAAAATTAACCGCAAAAGCTATTATACTTCGACGTAAATATTATTTGCGGACACACAAATTTTTTACACAACGTTTTCTATTCCCAAACTAAACAACGCTCGTACTATGTGGGTACTAGAAAATTGATTAACATACTTAAACATACTTTTCTTTTATAAATAGATACATATTATACATAAATAAACACCCAGACACTGGAAAAAACACTATGAACAAAACACTATTCATCACACAATATTTTTCCAGTTGTGGGGTTCGAACCCACACCCTCTGGCGCAAGAGGCAGGGTCCCTACTCCCCTGGCCAATCGAGTCGTCAAATTTTATATTACTAGTTGCAACACACGTTTGTACAAAAACAGATTAGTTTGGACAGCATTTGAGGTCTAAGATCAAATCTCAGTTGCGGAAGCCTACGAAATATGTACTGTTCACAGTGGTCACCAATATCTCTAGAAAATAGGAAGGGACCTTAATCTCTAGGAAATTTTTCTGTCAGGCTATACGTCATTTCATTTTTGTGTTATTACAGTTGTACCCAAATCGAGAGCATTGTCAAATCATTTGAAGCCATAGAAGCTATTACTCTTTATGAATAACCCTGTTCGCTGGATGATTATTCCACCCGTAGAGTAAGCCGTAAACTTTCCCGGTTTCGACAGGACGGACGGCACGAAAACTTCTGCTCGGAACATTCGAGAAACACGGAATGTAGCACAATCGATACGCTTGACTTTTCATACCACCGTAAAGAAATTGGCATTCTTTTCGACCGAAAGTTCGGGCCTAGATCAATTAGCGATACGCCCCTGCCTGGAAATATTGTAAAAACGATGTATTTACGAGCTATTTGAGGGCGGGCGGTTC